GCCGGCCGGCCCGGCGAGGAGCGGCGGCACCGTCGACCCGGAGGGTAGGGGCCCGCGCCGAGGCCGGCGTAATGTATGCTTGAGCACTACACCAGCTCGCTCGGGGCGCTGGCCGCCCTGGCTGGGGAGCTCTGTGCTCCCCGGTCGCCGGGCGGGGCGAAGGCCCGGAGGCCTCGGAATGAGCGCAGTGGTACCAGGTGCTCCGGGTGTGGTGCAGGGACCGCACGGGGACAGTGGTGTGATGAACACTTGACTGCTGCGTAGTGGGAACCCAGCAATCTCACCTGCTGCCAGACTAGAAGGGTTCTAGCATTGTTTTTTATTCCTAGTGATTTGGAAAAAAAGTTATTTATTCCATATGATACGTTTCTTATAAATAATCCTGAAAGGGTGATGCAGTTAGGCCTTGGATATTGGAATCTGGTACAGGAAGGTGTCATGCGGAACAAGGCAGTAGGATTTGAAGAGATGGGGGTTAATCAGTGTTGTGATGGAATCCAATTCTGTTTAGAACCTGCACTTGCACCAGGAGCCATGTGGTCAGCTGATGAAATTGCTGAGCTATGTTACCTGCATTATAGGACCAGACTCCCTAAGCAGGGGAAACCAGATCGAAACAGGGAATGGACTTCACTGGCAGCTGTTGTCAAAGTGGAGTCTGCAACCCAAAGAGAGGTTCTTCCTAGTCCAGGGAATCTGCAGGGTAAGAATGAGTTATGGGGATTTGGGGGGGGTGGTGGGAGGGAAGGGGGTGAGGAGGTGGCAGTCCTTGATGCTTTTTATTTAGTTATTTATTTATTTTCAAGATACCTTCTAAAAAAAAACCATACACCCCTTCCTGTTCCGTTTTAGTCTCCACCCAAATTCTTTACTCTTTGTGATTGTAAAAGCTTTTACAGCTTCTGTCTGGAAAGAGGTGGTTATAGTGAAAGGCTGTTCTTCCCCGCCTGTAACTAAGAAGATGAAAGCCTGCGTTTGGCTATTCAATAAGTGGCAAAAGTCTAGGCAGGACCTGAATTCCTAATGTAAACCCTTGCAAAAGTGTGTTTGGCTACTGTTTGAAAGAATCCTAGAAAGGTCTCAGTCCGCTCTCCTTTAACAGACTGTGTTATTACATTGTGTGTTTGTGTTAGTTCACCATCATCTTCCTTTCCCTTACTGGCACTTCCATGTTGTCATGCAGATTGTATCCCATGCTTCTCTCTTACATGTTTGAGGAATCCTATGCCAGTGTCCACTGTGTGTTGCCTTAGCATATGGAGCCTGTGTTAGCACTCCTGCTGTGGGATCACAGACTTTTCCTAGCACTGGTGGTTCTGCCTACTAGGTTCAGTTCTCCAGCTGATACTGTTTCCTTTCTGGAATGTCCAATGGCCTGCCTCCCTGTACCTTCTCTTCCACGCAAATGTTCTGTGTGTTGTCTTACCAGAATGACTGTACCAAAGCAATGCTTCTGGCGATAGTTTGTTCAGTTAATGTTGTTTCTTTTTTCAGTAACAAAGGAAGTTGTTGCTATGGGAACTGGAACAAAATGTATTGGCCAAAACAAAATGAGAAAAACTGGTAAGTATGATGTGAAATCCAAGAACAGACTACTTATGCTACCTTCTTTCTTGCTGGTGTCTTAGAATCAATGAAAATGTCCAAGGCATTGAGCTCAGACTTCTGGACTGAAGCCAGAAGTTTAAGGCAGACCTCACCTCGTCAAGGAGAGAGGGGCTTAGGCAGCCAGAATGGCTGCCCTAAAGTTTGCTGCACTTGCTGCCTTAAAGGTGAATAAACTTTTTTATATGTGGAAATGTGTAGTTTAGGCCCTGAGTCTGCATACCCAAAGACTTCATAACTAAAAGCAAAACAAAACATAAGCAAAATAATTGTGCTTCAGTCACCTGTTACAGTCTAGTTTTATTGTGGTCTGATGCAAAAGATAACTACTGCTGAGTTAGGGTAGGGGTGACACCAGAAAGGTACTAACAGGCTTTTTCTCCCTTACCATATATTCTGCAGCTAGATAGTTTTAAGTGTTTGTACAATAAATGTATGGGTAGATACATGACTTCCCACAGCTACCATTTCTTACCATTTATTGTAGGACTTTTCCTTGCTCTGCATGTCCATTTTTTAATTCAGAATGTATCTGTCCCCCCTCCTAGGAGAGGGGAGAAGCCATAGTAATTAATGCTGAAAAGTGACTAAGGAGGAAAAGTGTTTGTGACTATGAGGTACAGGGCTTTCTACCTTCTTTAGACTTCAGAGGAGGAGTAGAGCCAGATAGGAGAAATGGTTTTGCATGCATCACTTTCGGGCTATTTCATGTTCTGTATAATGTCCTTCATACTGAAATGAATTAGTGGAACAAAAGAGAAGAAACTAAATTCTGTATCTTAGATTTTTGTTGATGTTTCTTGTGACTTAGCCATCTTAGAAGAGTATTAATACAGACATTTTTCTGATTGATTTAGGAAAATTGTGATTAAACTGTTGTACTACTTACAACCTAGGTACTAAGAGTCAAAGTAGAAATTTGACTAGAAAAAAGTAAAGCTAGTTCTTCTCGCTGTTGTTTGTCTTCAGTGATCTTAAGTTTAGAAAATATTTTTCTCTTATGATAACATTCATTTATTTTTAAATTAACTTGGGTGGTAGGTCATGTTAATGGTTGCCTGTTAGAGAACTTTGAAACTTTAAACTTTTAGAACTGTTAAAGAGTACTTTCATCGCCTGGCCTTTTATTGCTGAAGTAAAAGCTGATCTACAGATCCTGTTCCTTTAGATACCACAATAGGCAGATACTGCAGGAAATGAGATGTGTAAACCTGGTAAATATCAGAATTATTTACAAGAAAGTAATTTAAATTGTAGGGCAAAGTGCAACAAGAAACTTCAACCAAAAGCTTAACAAACACTTGAAATTTTCTGGATGTTACGCTTAATCTGAGAATATCAAGATTTACTATTAAGAACAAACATCAGGAAGGTTTTGAAGGAAGCCAGTGTTTTATTCAACTCAAAGGATTTCAGATTTCAGAAGAGTGCAAATTTGGTATTTAAACAAGTCTCTTGACTTGCTGCAGAGCGAAGACTTTTATCCTTCATTTGTGTAGGCTATTGACCTCCTTTTGTAGTGATTGGAAGTTTAAATATCTTGAAATAGCCTAATACCAATGTTAAACCTTCAAATGCTAACGAATCTGGAGAACTGTCATTTGTCAAATTCTGCTTGCTTTGTTCGTCTCCTTTTCAGTAATGATACGTATGGTCTCATTTGGTTGTTGCTTTAGGAGACATTCTGAATGACAGTCATGCTGAAATTGTGGCCAAGAGGAGCTTCCAGAGGTGAGGCATGAAGTTTGCATGCTGTTATTCAGTGCAACTTGAGGTTGTTGTGATACAAATGGTTTTGACCTATAGCTGAAATAGCCAGATTTTGCAGCTTCAGGGATGAGAATGTAATGAAAGAGACGGTATTACTTCTGTGTAGGCAACACTTTTTTTTCCCTTTGTTAGCAGGAGTTTAACCTAATTTTTACACTTCTAGGTGGTGTTAAGGCCCTTTCACAAAAGCTTGTTTCTTTCTCATTCTTGTAGAGCCTCTGTACAAAGAAATAGGATCTGATTTCATGTGACGTCAATGCTGGTCTGATGACTAGTTGTCAAGGGTAGCCTTGCTGTTTCCGACATACCAGTCATCTTGTTCGCATGGGATAAGCTGGTTCAAGGAACTGAGCCAGGAGAACAGTAATGCTACAGGAACGAGTATATCTCGTGTGGTTTGATGCCACTAAACTGGCTCTCACAGAATTGGTTGGGTTGCAGTGCTGGTAAAAATACAGAGTGAGAGGAGGGGACCTTAGATACACGATTTGAGGAGATAGTTAACTCCACTGAAGCCAGCCCTTTGAGGTCTGTTATTAAGGGTCCAATGATGTGTTTGTGGAGTATGTTGGATCCCATCTATCTGTAGAAGCATAACTGATTGGCTCCTCATAGACTTCATCGGGAAAGAACAGGCACTAGTGGGCATCTAATTTTTGTTGTTTTCCCATGCATCAAAAATGAAGTAAATGTTTCATGAAAACTTTCTGCCTAACAGGTATCTTCTCTATCAGATGTGGCTGGCAGCTTCCCATCAGCAGTGCAGTATCTTTATTCCAGGAACTGAAACTGGGAAATGGAAACTCAAACCAAATATCATATTTGTTTTCTTCTCCAGTCATACCCCATGTGAGTATGCTGGAGTGAACCAATTTCATGGCTCCCACTTGTAGAATTTTTTCTGCCCCTTGCCTTTCTTTGGTCCTCTTTGGTTGGGAGTGAGAGTGAGGCAGTAGCTCATGTTATCTGTATGTGCCCTAAGATGTACTTGACTGGTCCTCCACAGATACATTTGGCATTTTATCTCACTGGATGTGATTCATGAGAACCCCGTAAATCCAATACTGCTCATTATATAGTGGAATGTTTCACGTTCTCTGTAAACAATAATGGCTACTATTTTCTTTTCCAGAAACTAACATACTTGTCAGGTCCTGTCATATTTCCTGGTTGCTTTTCTTTAAATGTTGTCTCCTTGGATTCAAATTTTAATAAAAAACATTGACATTTACCACAGTTCAAAAAAACCCAAACAAACCCAACACAACAACAAAAAAACCCCACCAAAAACCCCAACCAAACAAAAACCAACCAAACAAAAAAACCAAAACAAAACAGGACATCCCCCCCCAAGAAAAATCCAACAAAACCAAACTCCCAAGAAACAACAAAAAAAGCCCCACCCACAAAACACCACCACCACCCCCCAACCCAAAACTTCTTATGGAATGGAATGCAACTTTTTGTTTTGTCATGGAAAATGCTCTTTGTGTGTTTTTAAAAAAACAACACCACAAAGATGAGGATCTATTGGCAAAATGTAGGAAGGCGACCTCTTGGTCTACCAGCTTATCGGATGTCTCGATGTTACCACACTCTTACCAGCGTGTTCTTCAACTGCTAGTCTGTTACCAGAGCAAAGAAGTCTAAGCACTCTCAAAATATGCCTCATCAGTACTTCACATAGTGAATTAGTTGCTCGTACATTTTCATTATTTTTATGGCATTGCTGGAATATGCTATGATGGTTTTCTTTGTTAATGCAATATGAGAATAGAATCTAAATCTTCAAATTTAATAGCAAAAATAATTTCCTGACTGCCTTTTTCTCACACGCCTGTCAGGCTTTGTTTGCTTTGAGCTGAGCTTCAGAATTTTGGTCTTGAGCTTGTTTTAGGAATACAGATTAAAATTTCCATCCTTATTTGATAGGATGGAATTTATTCTTTAATTATTCTTTATAGTAATTATTCTTTAATTATTCTTTAGAGGTTTGTATTGTTTAGTTAGATCAGACTAGTTTTCCTGTGAGTCTTCAGCACTGCTTGTAGTCTGTCAAATGCCTTTGACACCTTTTGCTTTATAATCTTTGTTTTAAATTTTGCATTTTTTATTATTTCTTAGGTAGAATGCAGAAGTTGAAATTAAACACGTTGGCTCAAATTTCAGCGAAGTCTGATTCATCATTGTACAGGGCAATGTTGTTTGAAAAGTGTGTTCTCATAATTAAATTTTCCTGAGTGCAAATCTGTGAAAGCTAGTAGTAGCCATAATATTACTGGCGTGATGTGTTCCAGTCATGAGAGAGGTGTTTTTGGCCAATTTTGATGTTAATTCTTTTGTTCTAGGTGGAGATGCTTCTATTATTCCAATTAGTGAACCAGAGAACCAGCTTTCTAAGCCAGTGACTGGAGATGATGCAGCTGGACAATCAGCAGAGTGTATAAGTAACCATGATCGTTTGGGTCCAGAAGATAAAAGGAAATCAGAGAAAATGGCAAGTAATCATATAATCAAGAGAATGAAAACTGACAATGATGATTATTCTTCTGTAATCACTGAAGACCTGGCTGTTCAGCAAGTATCTGTGAAACGAGATGGCGACACAAATCCAAAGAGCTGTGACTCTTCTGCAGAGATACAAACAGCTAATAAGGAGACTGGCTTAGGGAGACCGAAGGTAGTAGATGTTTATAGAACTGGAGCAAAATGCGTACCTGGAGAGCTGGGTGATGCCCGGATACCTGGGCTAGGGTATCACTGTGTGGGATTATTACGAGTGAAGCCAGGTCGTGGGGACAGAACATGCTCTATGTCCTGCAGTGATAAACTGGCTCGCTGGAATGTGTTAGGGTGTCAAGGAGCTCTTCTGATGCATTTCCTGCAGTATCCATTGTATCTGTCAGCAATTATAGTGGGGAAGTGTCCATATAGCCAAGAAGCTATGCGGAGAGCAATTATTGAAAGGTAAGTTCTCTCCTTTGGAAATCAGATAGTGTGTATGGAGGCAATGAGTTATGGAAGACAACATGTGTCACACAAATATCAGGACTTTGCACCAAAGTAATTTGCAGAAAATGTGAATTTCTGCAAATTCACATTTTCAAAAAGTAGCCCTGTGTAGTATGGAGAAAAGGTGACTACTGCTGATGGATCAGACTTGAAGATTCACAAAAGAATTTCCATTAGATTCAGGATCCCCTTGGTTGTCCCTTCATGGAACAGTGAGAAGCTGTTACCCACCTCAGTTTTTCTAGAAGCCTTTCAGCAGAAAAAGCAGCCAGAAGGACACAAACTCAGCGTAGTGAAGTTTTTTAGCATAGTGGAGTTGAACTTTCCTTGCCCTCTTCCTGAATTTATTTCCTCAAGCAGGGTCAAGAAAAGTTTTAATTTATTCAGTTATCCATACTCCACAAAGTCATTCTGAATATCTATAAGTTTCCTTTTATAGAATTGTGTTGGTGAGCAAAAGCAGCTTTTATTTCTTGCAGGACCATTCCTAAAATTAAATTAAAAAGCCCCCAAATCCATCCGTCCTAAAGGCAATCTGACTGAAATTACTCCAAATGAATGCATAGGTAGACTTTTGCACTGTGGAAAAGATGTCTTTCTGGTTGTCCTTACAAACCTTTTTATAATTTAGCCTTAAATGAACTGCTTATTTCTTCTGAAGCTTTTGCTGATTTTAGACCCTGCTTTTGGACTTACTTTCCAGCAAGTAAAAGATGCAGTATTTTAAACTTGCTTTAAAGGGAATTGTAGTAAAACCAGTTTACTTTCTGCTGTCTTCCTAAGCTTGGATCCAAACTGAAAATTGTCCAGGAGGTTAATACTTGGGTCATTGCATATGCATACAAGTCCATCCCATGTAAAATTTCAAAATCGTATTGTCAGTCTGCTCTCAGTAGAGGTTTTTGAAAACTGTATCATGTGCCTTCAGGTGTGCTGTGCAGCCCATGGAAACTGAGTTCTAGACCTAATGCAGAAATTGCTGTGGAGTGGTGGAGTATATTTAGGTTTAGAAAGATGAGTGCTGTTTGGCAACCAGATTGGAAAGTCATGATTTCCTGTCAACAGTTGTTTCTATTAGCGTTGATTGTCAGTTTGTTGCTTTTTGAGCAAAACTTCATTCTTCTGGGACACTTTGCACTTGCATGCAAGCTAATATCTCATTGGTCTATTCCACCACTTTTATTCACACTGATTTGGGTGTGCAGTGCAAGCTTACCTTTTATAGTCTTCATGCATTCTGAGGGATGCGCTTCAGAATTCTACCATGAGACTCTAGGCCTTCAGCTTCTGTAAAGGATGAGGTTTGTGGCTCTGCAACTCTGGATTTGGCATACTTGTTTCTCATCCTCCGGCTCTGCAATATAAAAAGAAGTGGAATTTTTGAACCTGATTCACCTTTAGGAATGATTGAAATGGCAGATAGAGGAGCCAACAAGGAGAGGTACTGTGCTGGACCTCATACTCGCCAGCAGTGAGGGGCTCATCGGGGATGTGAAGGTCAAAGGAGGCCTTAGTTGCAGTGACCATGAGATGGTGGAGTTCAGGATTCTGAGTGGAGGGAGGAGAGTAAAAAGCAAGCTCACAACCATGGACTTCAGGAGAGCAGACTTTGGCCTCTTCAAAGATCTGCTTGGAAGAGTCATATGGGATAAGGCTCTGGAGGCGAGAGGGGCCCTTAAAAACTGGTTAATGTTCAAGGATCACCTCCTCCAAGCTCAAGAGTGGTCCATCCTGATGAATAGGAAATCAGGCAAAAATGTCAGGAGGCCTGCGTGGATGAACAAGGAGCTCCTGGCCAAACTCAAACATGAAAAGGAAGCATATGGAAGGTGGAAGCAAGGGCAGGTAACCTAGGAGGAATATAGAGGCAGTGTCTCTGTATGCAGGGATGAGGTTGAGAAAGCTAAAGCTCAACTGGAATTGAATCTGGCAAGGGATGTCAAAGACCAGAAGGGCTTCTCTAAGTACATAGGTGACAAAAGGAAGGCTGAGGAAAACGTGGACTTGCTGCTGAATGAGATGGGGGACATGGTTACACAGGATATGGAAAAGGCTGAGGTACTGAATGCTTTCTTTGCCTCAGTCTTTACTAGCAAGACCGGCCTTCAGGAATCCCAGGTCCTAGAGAATGGGGGGAAAGTCTGGTGCAAGGAGAACATACCTTTGGTGGAAGAGGATCAGGTCAGGGAATACTTAAGAACACTAGACAGGCTTAAGTCCCTGGGCCCTGATGATCTGCGTCTCCTGATGCACTCAGGAGAGCTGAGGGAGTTGGCAGATGTCATTGTGAGGCTACTCCCATTGATCTTTGATTGATCATGGTGGCTGGGAGAAGTTCCCAAAGACTGGAGGAAAGCAAATGTGTCTCCATTCTTCAAGAAAGGCAAGAAGGAGGACCCAGGGAACTACAGGCTAGTCGGCCTCACCTTGATACCTGGGAAGGAGATGGAGCAGCTAATCCTGGAAACCATTTCCAGGCACATGAAAGACAAGAAAATCGTCAAAAGTAGTCAGCATGGATTCACCAAGGGGAAGTCGTGCTTGACCAACTTGAAAGACTTCTATGATGAAGTGACTGGCCTGGTAGATGAGGGGAGAGCAGTGGATATTGTCTACCTAGACTTCAGTAAGGCCTTTGACACTGCCTCTTGTAAGATCCTCATAGAGAATCTGTTAAAGTATGGGCTGGATGAGCAGACAGTGAGGTGGATTGAAAACCAGCTGAATGGCTGAGCCCAGAGGGTGGTGATCATTGGACAAAATGTAGTTGGAGGTGTAACTAGCCGTGTACCCCAGGGGTCAATATTAGGTCCAGTCCTGTTTAACATCTTCATTAATGATCTGGATGATGTCGCAGAGTGTACCCCCAGCAAGTTTGCTGATGTCTCAAAACCGGGAGGAATGGCTGATATGCCAGGGGATTGTGCTGCCATCCAGAGGGACCTCGACAGGCTGGAGAAAGGTAGGAACCTCATGAAGTTCAACAAGGGGAAGTGCAAAGTCCCGCACCTTGTAGAGGAGCAGCCCCATGCATCAGTATATATGCTAGGGGCTGCCCAGCTGGAAAACAGCTTCACAGAAAAGGACTGGGGGGTCCTGCTAGACCCCAGGTTGAACATGAGCCAGCAGTGTGCCCTGGCAGCAAAGGCGGCTAATGGTACCCTGGGTTGCATTAGGCAAAGCGTTGCCAGCAGGTCCAGGGAGGTGATCCTTTGCCTCTGCTGACACTGGTGAGGCCACACCTGGAGTGCTGTGTCCAGTTCTAGGCTCCTCAGTACAAGACAGATATGGACGTACGGGAGAGAGTCCAACAAAGGGCCTCGAAGGTGTTTAAGGGATTGGAGCATCTCTCATATGAGGAAAGGCTGGGAGAGCTGGGACTGTTCAGCCTAGAGAAGAGAAGGCTCAGGGGGATCTTACCAATGTGTATAAATACCTGAAGGGAGGGTGCAAAGAAGATGGAGCCAAGCTGTTTTCAGTGGTGCCCAGTGACAGGACCAGAGGCAGTGGGCACAAACGGAAACACAGGGGGTTCCCTCTGAACATCAGGAAACACTTTTTCACTGTGTGGGTGACAGAGCACTGGCAGAGGTTGCCCAGGGAGGTTGTGGAGTCTCCCACCTTGGCGATACTCAAAAGCCATCTGGACACGGTCCTGGGCAGCTGGCTGTAGGTAGCCCTGCTTGAGCAGGGAGGGGTTGGACCAGAAGACCTCTGGAGGTCCCTTCCCACCTCAACCATTCTGTGATTCACTGAAGTGGTTCAGGGCACCTAACATGTGACAGCTTGTACTGGTCAGCTGGAAAAAGAGTAAGAGTTGTGTTAGACTGGAAAGGCAAAGCTTATGTGCATTTCCATGGTGGTAAAAAATTGTCTGCTGCTTTGATTTGAATTACATTCAAGATTTCATTTTCTCCCTACTGTGAGTAGCAGAGCTCTGATAACACAACCTGTCACCTCAGGGAAATTTATGTGGGAGGTGAAGTGCACTGCTGCTAAATGAGGAAAGTCATCTGCTGTGCACTGGGTTTCTTGCTCCTCGGATCCTTGAGTTGATGAAAACTATCCCAGCAATAAAAGGATAGGAAGTGGATATTTTTCGTGCTTAGGAGGGTGAATCAATGCAACAAAAGAATTGGCAAGCATTAGAGGACGGTAAATAGAACTGGGTGGAGTGGAGGGAAAGGAGAGCAAGAAAGAAACCGGGGAGCTAACCACTCCCTTTAAGAGGCAGTTACTAGACCAGTTCATCTGAAGGGTTTGACTTGGCTTAGTAACTCCTTTTCTCCATAGCCTTACATCCTTCTAGGATGGTTATAAAAGAGGTCATAATATATTAATAGGGGAAACTCTAGCTACCTGTCCAGTGGAGCTTACTGGATAATCCTTTCCTCACTCTGTAACACATGGGACAAGAATTTGCCCGGCCTTATTAGTCTTAGATTGCAAAGTCAGGCACCTTTTCAGACTATTACATCTGACAATATGAACCTCAGTCTTAATTCATGATTAAAACACATGCTGTTTTTTCCTCTTCATATGATCCTAATCCCATTCAGTGTGTGACAGTAATTTAAAGGTAACAAAGATGAGATTATACGTGGAACTGTAAGTATATTTTGTATCTTTCTAGTCTTTGATTATGAACCTTTAGGTTCATAAAACAGTTGTTACTGTAATATGTTTGACTATGTAAATACTTTGATTATTATTTTTCATTGTGATTGCAGAAGTATATTGCAGTTTTTATCCTGCATACTTTGTCTCCATCGATTATACTAGCTTTTAACTAGACCTTTTTAAAAATCAATTCATCGTGGTTTTTCTAGGACGGACAAGGTCTTAAGCTATGTGGCTTTGTTTTTTTTAACAAATACTTTTTTGAAGGGAAAAAAGCCCCCAAATCTCCTCATCTCTCTTCTATAACTCATGTTCAATTCAGTTTTGATGTAAAGTAACATGTTTTAGATTTTGAAGGGAAATTGCACAATATCAGCTTGTTTGGGAAGGCCAGACTTAAAATCACTTGCATTTTTCCATGTTTACTTTAGGTGTCAGCACATCTCATTTTTACCAGATGGTTTTCTCACTCATGAGGTTAAGCTGCTGCAATCGGATCTTCGATTTGAACATAGCCGTCAGGCAATTCAGGAAGTTCAAACTAACAGCAGAACAAAACTTGTTCCTTGTAGTGCAGGTGAGTTACCTTGGGCTAGTTGCGTAACTGTGTGCAAAAGTCCAAACAGAAATTAGGTGGTTTTGGTGGTTTCCTAAAACGGAACATCATTCATTGCCAGTGCTAGAGGCAAAGTGTGACTTAGAGCAAGAAATTAATTTCAGGCCAGAACTTAATTGTTAATAATTAATAATATTCAGCTCGGCCTCTAGTTCCCTGTAGGGAGTTTTCAGACTGAATAAACACTTGGTTGATGCCATTAAGAATTTATGATCTAAACAAAGACAGAAAATAACCAGCGAACGCAAAAGTTCTGAGGGCAATAAGAAAACAAAAATATCAAAAGGCTTCTTGTTTCAGTTAGTTTTGCATTCTCCTTGGTAATGAACAGAAGACTTGCCATGCTGAGTTATGCTTGCAATTGCTCCAGAAATCTGTGAACGTAGAAAGAATACAGAGTAGTATAGTGTGAAGGTTTAATTGATAGAGGTTTTGGACATTGCGTTTTTTGTCATGGTGATGAATGAATATGCAAGTCACGTTGTGATTTAGCAACATGGTCTCATTTGGGGAAAAAAAACCAATGGAACTGCCACTGTATGTATATGGTTAAGCAGTTTCTTTAAACTTGGACATGCCTACCTTCTGCTGTTGTGTACTTTTCTGGCTTAACTGGAAGTTGTTCTATTACAGTAGAGCTGATGATAAAATAGAATGGAAATAAAGGGTTCCTTAATGGAATTCAGATTCATTAAATTGGAGTCATTTAGAGGTGCCAGGAAGGAAAAGATTTCGATGGTGTGAGATAGGAAACAAAATCCATCATTGAAAAATGGTGCCAATTCACTTAGCAAAAAAGATCGGAAGTGAACTGTGACTAAATTCCTGTGTATGCCTTTCTTTCTGTACAGTTACTCAGGTCATTCTGTTAAGTAAAGATGCATGATGCTTTATCACACTTTTTTGCATATGTGAATTATGCCAGGTTGATTTTCCTTGAAGGGGTGAAAATCAGAATAAACTCTAAATTCAGGGCTGTTACACTGAGTATTGAAATATGCTTGATAGGAACGTTTCAGCTGGTATTTTTAAAAAGAAAGATGTGTTCTGTTTAATATTTTGAAGTTTGCGATAACTATGAAGAAATGAAAGAATATAAAATGTTTCCACTTTTAAGTAAATTTTTTGGGTTTAGATACTCCACACATGAAGGGTTTAATGTTTCATACCAGTTGTATCTATTTAATGTTATTTGACATCACACGGGATTTTAATTTAGTAGAGTGATACAATGTTGTACCTAAATCACAATGCAAGTACAATTTACACTTAGCAGAGTATGGCAATTGCAGCATACAGTTGAATCATAATACAAGTATGATTAACATAACCAGTCTCCGTAATATGCTTTATAATGTGTAGTTTTTGAACATCTTGAACGGCAAAGTGGTATCATGAAGGAGAGAAGCTCTAAAGAAAATAGTCTTTAGAGTTAATGCATGTGCAACTGTTTTGCCTGTTAGGAACACAGAGAAATGGGAGAACTTAAGGAACAAAAATTGTCTCAAGGCAGTAGAAGTTAAAGGAACTGTTGTTAGGCTATGGAGGGACAGATTGGGCATGTCAGTCAGTTTTGTTTCTGTTAACATGCTACTGATGCTTTGCTAATTAGTTATAAATCTGTAAGGTATGGCATGCAGAGTTTCAGCATTAAGAAGTTTACAGTCTAAGATGGTAATAAGGTTACCAGAATGGGGGTAAAGGATAAGGTTGTTGGCACTTGCTATCTCTTCCAACAAATTATTTTAATTTGACTACTAGCTAATAATATTTTTCAAGTAAAGTCTACAGATACTTGATGTATGTCAGTTATCAAACATAGAACTATTTAGAGTATACAATACACAACAAAATAATAGTACACAGTAAATTAATAAGGAAAACATAGAGTGACCGGTGCAAGTAGCTTGGGGGGAGTATTTCACAGCCTGATATGAAAATAAGCCATCTGACTTGGAAATTTCTTCATGCTTTGTCCAGACAGGATGCACAAAAGAAAGTAGAATCCCCCTAAAAAGGGGAGAATTGCAAAGCTGGAGGCCAAATACTTAAAGGCATGGATTCTCAAAGGACCTGATTAAGATGAAAGCGCTGTGTGTGTGTGTCTTTTTTTTTTTTTTTTTTTTTTTTTTTTTTTTTTTTTTTTTTTTTTTTTTTTTTTTTTTTAATTAAACAGAATTTACCTGTTCTTTTAGGTACTGGAATCCTGGCCCTAGAGAACCATGGTCCTTTTTCTAGTTTGAATTATTTTGGGAAGCAGCATAGTATCATGTGAACACATAGAATGAAAGGAACCGTTAAGTTCTGCTTTTGTGATGAGAGCATCTGCCTTGTTCATAATCCTTTCTTCTACAGCTATCAGTTGGAGTGCAGTCCCTGAGCAACCTCTGGATGTAACCTCAGATGGCTTCCGGCAGGGAACAACAAAGAAGGGGATTGGGAGCCATCAGAGCAGGTGTGAGAATGTTGTGATATCTGGATGCATATATCTTATTTGTTAGTGTACATGCCTCTGACAGCTCATGTGATGTGTAGTGCATTGTGAGAGCAGAAAGAAATCTAGGGAGTGGGGAAAAAGGGGAAAGGTAGGGAGTGGGAGAAAAGGAAGAGTCACTGTGTGAGGGAGAGAAAGGGAGTTGGAATGACAAAAGTTGAGTGAGGGTTAAGTTTATCGTATTTCTTCTTTGTCCTGTTGATTAAAGAGAGCATTGTAGATAATGGTGGTGGGGGACTATGATCAATTTTTATTAAAAGACAGCTTATTTATTGGTTAGCAGAATTTTTGCTTTGTATCTTTTGGGTTGATGACTGTGAAGGAAATGGGTGTGTTGCAGGTCCTCTTTTTACAGATTTCTTTTTCTGTAAGACTCAGGCCAGCTGACCTGGATGTGTGATTGTTAAAAGTGTTGCTTTGAAATGTGACTTTCTGCCTTAAAGTTTGGAAAGGTTATGAAATGCTTGCAGCAGATTCCTAACACAAAACATGTCACCTTTCTGATTGTCGTCTTGACACTGTGCTCTTTAAGAAACACCATAATCTTCTATCAACTATTAATGTTTAAAGAAACAGTTACATATTTTTCTTGTGGTTGAGAGGAATTACTTGTAAACACCTGCAGACAAATTTCTCCATCTCTCTACACTTTCCTCAGTTTAGGTGAGGTGACCAAAATTATCATTGGTCTGTGGAAGTTCAGCTTGAGGGTTGGGGTCATGTTTTGGTTGTTGGCTGCTTATACTACCAATTTATCAATGATCATATTGTTTATTTTTCCCAGGCTTTCTGGGAGAAAGAAGATAATCCTGACAGTAGTGAATAAAATGATAAGTAGAGCTTAGACAATTCTTTTGGAGAATTCATTCACGTGCCTGTGAGTTGCACATTCTGAGCTTCTTGAAGTTAGGCCTGACTTGACTGAAGTTTATCCTGGTATTTCCAAATATTCCCTGGAAAGAAGAGGACCAGGAACTTTGTGGTTTGTGACCAGTAGTGGTATCTGGGGTATCGTTAGCACAGGTGACCTGCATGACTTAGTGTGTCTTTTGAGACAGGCTTCATTTGCACTGTGGAATATTAGTTTTCAATATGTGGTGTGTCATGTATTCCAGAAGACGTGTGAAAGATCGAACAAACCAACCAACCCCTTTTTCTCAGTAGGCTTAAATTTATTATGTAGCATTTGTGTATCAACTCTAAAACTTTAGAGCCATCTGCTAGCTGCCAGTTTGCACAAAACTGTAGGAATTTAATTATTGTTGAGAGATCCTCCTTTCTTTTTTACATGTGCTTGAAATTCACTAAAACATTTCAAAAGTTATTAGAGAGGGCCTACAAGACTGTGATCGCAAAGATCTCGTTTCCTTAGGAAATCAGGATTAAAAACAGTGTCGAGGAATAAGTAAACTGTTCACGCTTTTGTGATAAATGGTCACAAAAGGAACTTCTATCAAGAAAATAAGGAATTTATAGCCTTATTGAGGGGTGTGTGTGTGTTTAATAATAAACAAGACTTTTATTTCTACCCTGTTTTTTCTCTCTCAAGGAATCTCAGGGTGATTGCTGGGGGGGTATTGTTTGGGTTCCCCCCCCAATATGCTAGATAACACTAAATATCAAGGAAGGTAAAGCTGACTGACTCAAAGGAATTTATAGGTAGATGTCTGGTACGTGCTTTTGTTAATGCTTAATTAACTAAAACACCAAAAACTACAATATGAACCTTTGACAGATTAACATGAAGAAATTTTAGAGCATCTTTGCATGCCAGTTTTGGGATTCTTAAAGAACATACTAGCAAAATAGGAAGGCTTTTTTGATTGGTGTGTTTTTCAATGCTTCTGGAGAATCAGCTTGTACATGTTGGAGAACTGAATCAGTCATTGTGAAGACCAGTGTATAAAAATAATTTAATTAAATAGAGAAAATAGCTGGGGCTCTCAAAAACAAACCATGATTTATAAACAGCTCTTCTGATTGCCTTCTCTTTGGGGGAAGAGAAGCTGACAGAGGTGCATATGGTATCTTTAAAAGACCTTTCAAACTTTGACTCACTTTATTTTTTGATGAGCCTCTTCATATTTAACTGCCCTGCAGCTGTTGCTGAATGTGTCCTCATCACCATTGTGAAAAGGACAGCATTGTTCCAGGTATTTCTGCTGGTTCTTTTATTTGTTCTGAATAATACAAAGTTTGTCAGTTTGAACAAGTTTGTTTGGAGTTCTTCTGTGCTTGTTTGATCACTTCTGGGACTAGTCATTCTGGCTCAACCTTGCTGTAGTTGCGAGCTGATGATGGTGCAGTCTCACACAGATAACAAAGTCGGGAAATTAAAATGTTCTCTCTACAAACTGACAGAGTGCTGGCTGGGACAATGAGGGCAATGTAGCTCTTTGTCAATATAACATTTAAAACGAAGGGAAGAGGCAGGTGGGCAGCTCGGATTGGGTAGGAAAAGTTAAATTGTGGAGAACTTTTTACATTCTTTGAGAAGTGAACATAATTTTTTTTTTTTTATAAAAAATGTTCAGCTGGGATCTACTGCTGTGAGCTGTAAGTAGTGCATTTCTGATTCCTTTTTTCCATCAGAATTTCTGATTTCTTTTTTTTTTCATCAGATCCAAGATCTGTAAAGTGGAACTCTTCCATACATTCCAAAAGCTGGTGACAAGTATTTCACAAGAGGATCTACCAGACACTCTCCGGTAAAGACATTTTCATTGTATTTAGAAGAGCAAATTTATCTTAATGAAACTCAAGAATACTGTGATGGTACCAGAACCTGCTCATGAATCTCACTTTAAGTTCGTTGTTAAAATTTGATACTTTAAAAATACGGCATGTGCTTGATGGGTTAGGAAGACTCTCTTTTTGGTCTTTTTAATCACCTCCTCAGAGAAATAGCCATCGCATCTCATGTATTAATGGCAGAAGAAATTGCAGGTTGTTTGTTTGTTTGGAGTTAAGGTAAGAATTTGGGGCAGCTGATCTCTTCTGAAGGCTTACTACTTTTCAAAAGGGTAAACTCTGTTCCTGATCAGTGGAGCCTTGTCCTTCTCTTGCACTAGATCTGGTGTCTGTTGGACACCTCTGTAAGCCTCTTCAACTTGCTGTCTTGGCAGAAAACTCTACGTTTTGGGGTTTTTTTCTGAGTTAAAGTAGTCTTGTCTGAAAGTGGCAGTGGACAGCTGGGGAAGAAGGAGCGGAGAGGGAGATGAGAGGAGGAAGTCTTATCTTTTCTTTTGAAAACGTGAGCTGTTAGATCAGCTGCCTGCAGCACTGTACCCTTGGTGGCGTTCAAAACCCCCATCCCAAAATTGTCGTGGGATTATTGATATCTGGTTGGTGTTTAGTAATTCTATCAAATGCCACTTCTTTTTTTTCACAAGAAGGAAGAGTTTGAGTAAAAAAAAAAAAAATTTTTTTTTTTTTTTAGAAGTCTAGGCTAAAATCTTTTTTCATCTAAGTGTATGATGGTGTAAGAGCTAGTAAGGTGAGATAGTGTGTAGGGCTCTTTCTGCAATGCATATATTACGTAGATGGAGACTTTCAGGAAAGAACAGAAAGAAGCTTTTGTCTGAGGAAGCCATACTTGGAGGTTTATTTTACATTATTAGAAACAAATTTGGTTTATCAGACTGGAGTTTCTTGTGGTAATCATCCGGTCTGGTATTGCATTACGTGCATTACGTATTTGGTGGTATTCCAGCCCAAATAGCTACCATAGAGCCGGGCATAGTTTCATATGTACAGAAACTTATCTCTCACTTTGGCTTAGAGATTCTGAGAGATGTAGAAGGTTCCAAATGCATTGCCTTGGGAGGTTTATTTTATTTTAGGCTTATTTCCAGGTATGATTTCACCAGCTCTGGGATGCAATTATACCAGCTGTTGAGCTAATTTTAACTGCTTGTAGTTGCTGATGGGGATGGTCCTGCAGCAGTCTCTGCTATTACTGGCTGTAGATTTCTCCCTTGTATCAGTAGCACTTCTCTAACCTTATGGTGAGCCAGTTCAACTAGCTAATGTAGCAGAAAACAATTTCTTTGTCTTCTGTGTTTTCTATTGGACTAATGAGCTGAATTGGCTCATGGAAAGCTAAAACGGATAATAAAACCTGTGCAAAGGAAGTAGGAGGTATGTGTGGCTGGAAGTAGGGGAGATAGGCCATTTCTGCCTTTCGTAGTACCAAGACATGAGATGAGATGAACTTAGCCAAAGTAAGCGCACCCTGGATCTTTAATTATTAGCTCTTGCTTGCTTTTGAGTTTTGTGAATTAAAGATTGCAGTTACCTTCCGTGTCTGTAGAAATGTCTCATAACTATTTTAAAGTTCTGATGTCAACATGAGCCATGCTATTGCTGACACGGTTTCAACTGATTCCATAAGTAGAGATACACTTTCTCCTTAATTCAGTTTTGAATATAAAATTATTAGCCTCTTTCGGGTGGGAGTTTGTCCTCACTTGTTTAGCCATCATAATTTCCTCAGAATAGAGCGTGAGCTGGTGCATTGTTGGGTAGGTGACTCATTGTGCTGATCATGTGCTGCTTACATAAAGTCACTTCACCTCAGGGCTTTTCTAGACTCCAGTGGCTTTGTAATTTCCTTTGACTTTTTTTGTCCTCTACCATTTTTCTGTCTGGGCTTCTCCTGACAAAGTCCAGCTGGTTTGCAGATGTGGCATCCTTTTAAAAAGCAAAATAAAAAGTCTTTGTATTGCTGTTTCCTTCTTCTTCCCTTTCCCTTTTTACACAATATTCTGATGTGTTCTCTTCCTTTTTCTTTCTTCCTCCTTGTAGTCTGAATTTGAGTGGACTTCAGATAAGAAATCCCACACTCTCAAATTGTTTCCTCTAAACTCCTGTGTATTTAACTGTTACCCAGTTTTGTGTTTTCTTCCCATTCAAATGTATCTTGTTATCTCCTCCCACAAATGGTTGGCTCTAGTGCTATCCCGTCACCCAGTTTCCTTTGCCCACTTTGCTCCTAAGTTCCTGCCCTGCCTCTTCTAGTCCACTTTTTGGTCTCTTGCCTCCCATGCTTTCTGCTCCATCAAGGGAATCACATTCTGTAGTCCTTTCAAATTTGCTGAACAGCTTGTCTTGGTAGTTGTAGGGTGTTTTAGGAGAAGGATCATTCTTTACTTAACCCTTCCTTCATCTACTGTTGTCCGCTGTCAGACCTAGGATACTGGGGCAGTTAAAGCTTTCCATGGAACTAGTATACTGATTCTGATGTTCTTTTGTTTTCTTCTTTCCTGTGTCTGAAGCTGCTTCTCCTGCTTTTTGTGCCTTCCTTTCTCTTTCATTCTTCACTTCTCTCCAGAGGATCAGTGCGGGCACTGTTAAATTGGAACAGGTAGAGAGTCTACTGGGGGCAGAACTTTGCTGGCTCTCCTAAAAGGCAAGTTTAGGAATTTGTAGTGGTGTAGCTTAGCTAAGATGCTAAGCATAACATTCAGCAGTTGTTTTTTTCAGGATTCAGTTTTTTTGCTTTCAGCTGAGACTGTGAGAAGGAGGTGGTGTTTGGCTGGCATTAGCTACTTCTTCACCAAGAACCAGATAGTGCTGTATTGTGCTGTCCCACTTTCTTTCTTCCTTTCTGATAATTTCTATGATCTCTGTCTTCTGTGCCTTACTTAAATTCTCACTCATCTCTCTAGCTAGACTATCTAAAATGTTATTTGTTTCTTTATAACCTCTTACCTCCACCTGCCATAATTCATTCCCCTCTGTTGACTTCCTCTCACGTGATGGGTTTTTTTTCCCTGCTGGTAGAAGAAAACATGCCTTGTTTATCATCTGAGGAAGTGAAAGCCTTCTTTTGTCATACAGTGGCATCCAGGCGTTTTTGTCTGAATGTAAGGGAGACTTCGTAGCATCAACCTGCCCTGAGTTTCTTGCTGTCACAATTAAGATTGTGCTTTCTTCCTCCTTCCCATTCAGTCTGCAGTATGGACGATTCCATTTCGAGTGACAGCTAATTGGCGGGGGTGGGCTGATGTACAGAGGAATGCAAGGACTTTCAGATGGCTTTAAGATTTATATATGTAGACTAAAGCATAGAGCCTTCACTTGGGCTTCATGTTTAAGATTTTTTGCCAGTGTTCATTTGTGAAAAACAAAAGGATTCTGCCAGGTGACTGCTAAATATTTCCTGCTGGAGTGACTGAGGGTGATTGTAAGGAAGTGTCAGCCTAATGAAAGTAACTGTCATGGGAGGGGTGCAGTTTCACTGTTACCACTGTTCTCCAATTAAAAAAAAAACCACAAAAAAAACCCCAAAACCCAAACACATTTGGCAAGAATTTTGTTGCAATTTTCTAGTCCCTTTTCAATTTTCTTTTTAAAGTTTGTACATTAAACAATTCCTGTGATGGTCCTACCACTGCATAGGGGCCTGCGGGACAGTTAGGTCCTCTGATCTAACTAAGAAAATCTTTTCTATACTGCACATCACAGATGCTTGTTAGGTCTTTGCCAGATTGAAGAGCCTTTTATTAAGTAGTATTTTCTGCCCCATGAAAATACTTATCCATCATAATTATCTCAAGACTTTATCTTTTTTTTAATTACTCAATTGAGCTTCTACATCTTTTCCTCTGTGCAATTCATTTTTTTCCACATCTCAGATGACACTGGAAAAAGCTACAAAGCTCATTTTCCAATTTTTCAATAATGCTTTGAAAATCTGGTCTCCCGAGCTAGACACAGCAATGCAGTAACAATCTTCCAAATGCTGCAAAACCTTACATTACTGTTAAAACTTGTATTTGAGTGGAACTCACTCATTGAGTTAGCTCACTCTGTGACTTTGTTCTGTATCTTCTTAACAATTGGTGTCAATTACAAAGTTTGCCTGCAATGACTGCATTTTATCTGAAGCATTGAAGAAGATACTAATAGAATCAGGCCAAGTATGGTTTCCTGTCCCCTATCATTATGGATTCACAACAGATTTTTATATATTGAAGATCTGTGAGCTTTTGCCCTCTTAGATGCAATTCGTTAATTTTTGTGTAAGAGTAATGTTTTGGTTGATGCCTTGTGCTTATGTCAACATTTTTCATGTGCATGTAATCTTAAAAGTGCATTATCCGGTTGAATGTAAATGTTCGAAACTGAATATGGGGTTAAAGGCAGGGTTTGTTGCTGAGAAGAAAGTATTGCAGCACTGTATTGCTTTTCTTTGCATGCTGCCTTGCTTGTGAGCCCATTTCTGCTCAGCTTTGCACGTGGCTGAGCACATGAACGTTTTCAAGAATAATGGTGATTTGTGTAAGGCTTTTTCCAAGAGTGTGATACCTTTCAGACTGAAATCTGTGGATCGCCTCTCATGTCTCTGGCACACAGCCATTGGAATCACTCTGTCTCTCTCTTACGCAGTAGTGTAGGGGCAAGATTGAAATAATAAAGGGAAACATAAAAGGAATGTAGTCAGGCAGACCTGGATAGGCTGGAGATTGTGTGATTGTACTGGACTTTGCCTGGGGCAGCAAACTAGTGTTCATTTCTGCCAAAAAAATGTCACAGGTTCTTCATTACTAATGCTCAGAGCCTTAATGGCCCAACCAAAGCTGAGATACAGTCAAATCATGTGAGGTTTTTAGGCAGATGTAATGTACTTTGAATTTGAAAGTATTTTTCCTGTATATATGTTGAAAACTTCTTAGAAACTTAGTGCAGAAGTTGAGCATGAATTAAATAAATCTGTTTGATTTTGGCAGCTCTTTGAGGAAGCTGTTTAAAATGCAACTTTCTGTTGCATCCACTATTAAATCCTGTAGTGATGTTGTCTACTTGGTGAATGAAGGCCCCAAGAGGCTGCAGTCATATGCGCTCTTGTAGCTGCTACAGTGGGGTGAAAATACTGGGCTGCTTCTTACTGTCTATCCTGCTTTAGTGCTAGCTATGTTTTCCCTTACTGTCTACTGTAACAGTTTCCAAACAAAGGTCTGTTGAATAATCTGGGTTAGAAAAATCCCGTATGTGTTTTAGTTAAATTGAATCAGACTGACTGATATGAGTTGAAGAACCATTGATTTGCCAGCAGATTCAGGAAAAAGAGCAACGTTTAGCAAGGAAGAAATGAAGAACAGCTAAGCATTGGAGTCTTTCTCTTGGCTTAGTGGCAGGTGGAATATATCTGTCTATATCTGGATCTGTATCTATATATGTGCATCCACAGCAAATGCAAGGAAAACAGCTGTTTCACCTTTAACAAGATTGAGCCAGTCCAAAAATCTGTGTTCTATAATTCTTTTTTGATCCTTGACCATCCTAAATGTGATCTCATAAGTACAAATAGCTGTGTTTTGAAGATCTAAACAGCATCTGATATTACCTGTTCTATGATTAAGGACAAATACAAGTCATTAGATGCATTTATAGTGAAGAAGGGCAGTGTCAAAGTCTTAAACAAATATATCTGACGTACTTTAAGTGCAAGAAGTGTGCTAGTGTAAGAGAGTTTCTTCCCAAAGAATGATTCTGTTATTAACCTTGAGTGTAAGCACGCATATTGCTCCCCAGAGAATGGTTTTGAGGTGGAGAAGGTGCAGGTGGTTTGTACCATGTCTGAGGTACATGTTGGAGTACCTGGAAGAGGAATGGCTTGCCTATGCTAGGGATTTGGAGCTGGTTGTGGTGGGTTGACCTTGGCCCTTCTTGGACCTGTGTTGTTTCCTGAATGCTGCTTATGCAGATAGTTGCTGGTCTTTTGCCTGTTCAGTGATGCTCCTAAACCATGATCCACCATTGATAATGGGGTTCTGTGACTGTTCCACTGGGCAGGTGGAGGAGAGTTGCAGTGGGCCCTCCCACGGAACTTTCCAGAGCAGCTTGGAGGTTAGTTTCACAGAGTTCGATTAATGTGAAAGAGGTAAAGAAAGCAAAATGGATTAGCTGTGACAAGAGTGCAGGCAGGCTTGTAAGAGGGTATACATCTCCCATATTCAGCAATGGCATAGACAGGTTCTCCACTCTTGCACTTTCTGAACCTAAGGTCTGCAGGATAGATAGTATCTCATGGCTTGCTATGCGTGTCACAGCATTCTAGAAATACATTTATAGCAGAATGCTGAATGCCTGAAATACAGCTTCTGATGGTCTGCTATTACCTTTTTTGGGGTTTGTTGGGGTTTTTTGGGGGGTGGTGGTGATCAATATTGCCTTTGAGGATGAAAGCTTGTTCTGGAAGTTAGTGCAGTGGTTCTCAGACTTTTTAGGTTAGGGTTCCTGTAGTAGTTTGTCTCTTCCTTTCTTGATGAAGGTCATGTTGCCTATGATCTTCCCTTCATATTGGGTCGAATGTATAAACATTACGTGCCACATGTGGCTGACGGACTGTTTGTCAAAGGGAGACAAAAGAGGCTGGGAAAGGAATGTAAGGAAAGGAAAAAAGTCTCGATGAAATTGTCTTAGAGGCACTTGTGTTCAGATACTCTAGACCTGAATTTCCCTATTTTAAAAATCAATGGTATAATGCATTCAGCAGAGCGATCAACGGTTCTGCTGAGATTGTAGGGAGCAGGTGCTACATGAGGAAGGGGAACAGAGCACCAAAACTGCTGAGTCTCTTTTGCTTTAGGGAGAAGATTAAAAAAAAAAAAAATAAAAATTTCTCCTTTGTCTCACTCTTCCCCATTATTTTGTGTTGGAAGAGTACAACTGTCCTGTTTGTCCTTGTCCCCTTCCCTTCCAGCCAGGAATCGTGTCTATTCTTCTAGAAAAACAAGGCTACTTCCACCTAATTCAAAGCACTTATCTCTAGCCACCTGTTCTGCTTTGCTTTGACATTTTTTGCTGTCATGGAAGTTTTCTGTAACCTATTGTCACACAGTCAAACACTGACACTTCTGTTGCTGGAGAGTGCATATGAAGCATGGGAGAGGAGTTGTTTTGCTTTGTTTGGTAAGACTGCTGACGATGTCTAGATACACTAGCTTCAGGGCCTGCGCCTCTCCAAGTCTCCCTAGAAGCACAAGAGAATTTCACTTAGTATGAAAGAGCTCATAGGGCATCATCATGTTCTTAGATGTTTGATTGCTTTTTTCATTTTGTGACGTTACATCCAGTAGAATAATAGAAATGTTTTCGTTGTTGTGCATTTTCTGTCAGGATGAAGACTCTAGAAACCTACTGGGACTACAAGGAAGCTGCATTAAATTATCAAGAAGCCTGGAAAGTGCTGCGTAGCCAAGCCCTGACGGGTTGGGTCAAGAATGCCAAGGAATACCTGCATTTCACATGAGAATATATGCAGCTGTGTAAATCCAGCAATAAGCCCTGGTGCACAGCAGATACCTCTGCAGTTCAAGGGCCAGGAAAAGATGTCTTCTAGTTCCTGTGCTGTAAGGAGACAGGAGTGAAAAGGAAAGCAATTTAGAGAAGTCTTTATTTTTGTTGAGCTGAAGTCCCCTTTTTATTGAAATACAGAAAAGGATCGTTGCAGACTTAAAGTTCTGAGCTGCATGAAACAATATGCCTCCAAATAAAAGGAAGTAGTGATGTGTTATCCTGTTGTCTGAGGACGTGATCTATCAGCCATAGTCCATTGCAATGGAAATAATGTCAACTGAAATTGAAGCAGTGCTATGGAAGAAAGGCTGTCATTGTAAAATTTTAGTGCTGCTTTTTTCTTTCACTCCTCATAATGTTATGGTTGGTTTTGTGTTGCTGGGACAACCCTAATGTATAGTAAGTAATATTTTTATAACTCTTGGCTCTCCTTGTCTGGTGCCTGGAAGAATTTTCTGTGTCCCCCAGCCCCATTGCTTCTAACTGGAAATACTAGTTCTGTTAAAGGGTCTTTTTTCTGGAAGTCCTTCATATAAGCTTCTATTTACTAAATATAGCCAAAGCAGAAGCAGAAGAATGCTGGGGAGAAGGCTGTGTCAAACAATACCACTTACGATATCCCGTGCATCTCTGTTAATTTCAGAACTTTGCCAGATACCTCTTCAACTGCTTTGCTTCTGTGGGCAGGAAAGAAACCTCCTGAATTACCTGGTTCAAACCTGTCAATCCTGTGTAATTCCAGGCAAGCATTTACCTACTTTTCAGTGTTTCAAGCACTGTCTGTTCTCCTGTCCCCCCGTGATACATGGTTAATTAAAAGCAGGGATGCCTTAGCCATTTATGTCACTGTTTCCTGGCAAGTGTTCATTACTAGCCTGGCAAAGGTGGAGATGCTTTGGGGGGGACTGGAAGTAGTCTCTGGCAGTCTTTGCCTTTATGCTTTATTACCAAATAATATCTGCATGGCAAAACAGTCAACATTGCGAGCTGGGGGGAAGCAGCGGGTAATCCTCCTTAAACTTTCTGTCCCAATTATTGCTTTCTGTGAGCAAGTTCAGGACTATGTAACTGCTACTGAGCACACTCCCCTTTTGTCTTTTGCTATTGTAAACTACAATTCATAAAGTATTTGGGCAAGGCAACGGCAGGATGAAAGAAGTGGATAATTTAAACTTAAGAATTCTGTAGTGTTTTGAGTTTTCTGTTCTTTGGTACCTTACTGTAGGTTTGGATTTGAAAAAATGGGCACAGCAGTTCTCCAAACAGCCTCTACAGCCAACCTACTGAGCTATATATGGGACTGAATAGTACATATCACATTACAGTCTGAGAATTGATTACAGGAAATCTTTTTACTTCACACTTGGGTTGACTTGTCGTCAAATAAGAATAGTTCTCTCTTACTTGTTGAAGAAATAACAAAGAACTTGAATTCTGTGTGTATGTCCTCTCAAATCCAGCACTAACATGCAGAAAGACCAGTTGTATTGGTGAGGGAGGAATTCATTGTATGTGTTTGTAGAGGGCAGGGGATTATGGAGAACAGTGACTTGCATTAGTCATCAGAGGATGAAAAATGGCCAGATGCCATTGCAGATGGGCTACAGGGTGAACTGCTGAGGAGAAATGGTAGCAGTTATTGTAATTGAGCAAATGGCATTCCAAGGGCAGAGTCCTGTACTGTACTTAAAGAGATAACCAGTAAATTTCCAGGCTCCTGAAGTTTACCCTTGTCCTTCCCTGAAATCTTGCAGAAACTATACCTTAACATACCTAGTTTCCCTTTGTTAATGAACAAGGTCTGTAGTGAACCTGCTGACCAGACTGGAATGTTCCCATTTCCTATCCAGCTGCAATATTAAAATGGGTTACATAAGGCTAGTTTTTCTGTAGTCTTGGCATCAGACTAGTTTTCAGATAAGCAGTTAGATGATCTAAATTCTTTTAACTCTTTCCTAAAATTTGAGCCTGGCTGTTAGGAGAGATTGTTCCTGGTAAGATTTCCCTGTGCATTTGTAAAATACTTGTGAACTGTAGACTGCTGCTTTCTGCTACTTGTCAGGTTTAAAAGTAGTTATAGAGGTGCTGAACACTGATACTAACCTCACTTTTTGGATGGAGTTAAGGACATATTTAAGCCTAGAGTGAGTCAACGAATACGCGAAGAGAAGGAAGGAGCTAAAACAAAGCAGCATTTAAAAGGCTGAGGGGCTAAGCCTGCAGGATCTTATACTCAACTGGATGGCATTTCTGCGACTGAAAAGAAGTATTTAAATGCTGCATCTGTTTAATTCCAAAATGTCAAGAAATGCTGTAGGCAGTACCGAGAAACCGGTCTAAAAATCAGAAGGGAAAATGCAGAGAAGAGATAACACAATCTCTGCTTTTGGAAGAGGTAGCAAATGAAACTTTCATAATGTTAGCAGATCTTTGGAAGAATTGCTCTGGAAGGTAGCAGTTGAGGTGTTCCAAGCTTGTATCACTCCTTTGCACTGGAACAGCTGACGCACTGAAAAACAGAGATAGGCAAGGTGTAGGGAGGACAGTAGAGTGCAGAGACTCTGCCACAGGGGAGCGGAGGTGGGAGGGGTGAAGTAGAGGGAACGAAGTGCCCATGGTTCATGGTTAATGAGGACAACCAAGCAATTGGTAACAGGTGGAGCAGAGCATATGAGAGCACCAAGATTCCCAAGGCATGTGTAAAATGCTCTACAGAGCATATTTGTATTACCCAGATATGTCCTTGACTTTCCCAAACTAGTATGGGGACCAATGGTCCCTATTTGCCAGAACAAAGAAACTGTAATCCTTATTTTGAGTGGGATGTCTTTAACAGCTTCACTATTGGAGAAATCATTCTGTTTTCAATCACAGTAAGAAGGCCGGGCAGACCGCCTGCTTATCTTTAAGGAAGTCAAAACCAGAGCACAAAAACAAGAGTTTTTGTCCAAGTGTAGAAGTAATCTGTTTGAGCTGGAGGCTGCAGTTCCATGAGACAATATGCGAGCGTCCCACTACCTTTGAAAAAGCAAGGTTTTGATCTTCACAGTGTTCTTCCACTGCTCACCTCACACAGGCTGGAGCGCTTACTGATCTCAGTATGTTCAGAGTAAATTGAAGACTATTCAAATTACTGTCTTTGTAGAAAAACAAACCATGAGCCCAAAACAAGGTATAGCTTTTCATTAGGAGTTAAATCAGCTTTGCAATAAGCCCAGTAAGCAGTGATGAATGTTTACTAAAGCAGTGCTATACATTGCAGTGCTATTCTGAATAATGAAAGGCTTACTGAAATACAGCACATTTTCAGATGCAGTAAGCACATGCAGCACTGTTACTGTGGCAAGCCTCAATAATCGAGTAGTGTCAACAGTTCACAGGCTCCTACCTTCTCATTTTGGAGTCCTTCTACCAGTAGCTGTGAATAACTGTAGAGCCAAATATAATTCTAGGCATAAGATGACTTCATGGGAATTTGAGTTAGTATGAATTTGATTTAAGCTTTGAAAGTGATAAATTTCCATTGTGACTGGAAACACTTCACAAACTAAACTCTTCTGCACCATGTAGCGTGAAAATGAAGTAAAACTTTTATTAGGAATCTAAACTGCAATTAGTGTTTCCTTGCTGGCTTACGAAATTTAAAGCGATGCTACTTTTCCAACCCAGTGTTGTCTTTTAATATCAAAGCATGAACTCCAGTACTGTGCAATTAGGTCAATTAGGTGGTTTTTCCACTCCCCCCCCCCCCCCCCCATCATTCAGAGCCATGTTTGCCTCTTTGCCTGTAAGTAGAGGTAGCTGTGTAGCTATGGTAAGCCCACTTGGAGAGAATTTGAGAGCCTCATGAATAACAACTTTTTTTGATTTTGTGGCAAAGCCTCTTTACTTTTGCTGTGTTGCATACGTGCTTTGGCAAGAGTGCTCATAAACTGGAGGAACTAATCTTGAATTCTCTAGCTTGCATGCAGTATTTCTAATTCTAGTTGTCTGCCTCAACTAAGCAGAATCACAGAAGGCTTTGGGTTGGAAGGGACCTTCGAAGGTCATCTAGTCCAACCCCCCTGCAATGAGCAGGGACATCTTCAACTACATCAGGTTGCTCAGAGCCCCGTCCAACCTGACCTTGAATGTTTCCAGGGATGGGGCATCCACCACCTCTCTGGGCAACCTGTGCCAGTGTCTCACCACCCTCATCATAAAAAAATTATTCCATATATATAGTCTGAATCTCCCCTCTTTTAGTTTAAAACCATTAAAAAGTCTGTCCCCATCTTTCTTAGAAGCCCCCTTTAACTATTTAAAGGCCGCAAGGAGGTCTTCCTGAAGCCGCCTCCTCTCCAGGCTGAACAACCCTAACTCTCCCAGCCTTTCTTCATAGGAGAGGTGTTCCATCCCCCTGATCATTTTCGTGGCCCTCTTCTGGACCCGCTCCAACAGGTCTGTGTCTTTCTTATGCTGAGGGCGCCAGAGCTGGATGCAGTACTGCAGGTGGGGTCTTCCCAGAGCAGAGTAGAGGGGGAGAATCACCTCCCTCGACCTGCTGGCCACGCTTCTTTTGATGCAGCCAGGATACAGTTGGCTTTCTGGGCTGCGAGCGCACATTGCTGGCTCATGTCCAGCTTTTCATCCACCAGTACCCCCAAGTCCTCCTTGGCAGGGCTGCTCTCAATCCCTTCATCCCCCAGCCTGTATTGATACCAGGGGTTGCACTGACCCGGGTGCAGGACCTTGCACTTGGCCTTGTTGCACCTCATGAGGTTCACATGGGCCCACTTCTTGAGCTTGTCCAGGTCCCTCTGGATGGTATCCCATCCCTCAGGTGTGTCAGCTGCACCACTCAGCTGTATAATAAAGCTGTTCTTTCACATACTTGGTTCTGTAATGTCCTTACAATATCTACAGAATTTTTACTTGGAAAGGACTTGTATATTTATATAACTACCTGTAACACAACTACTGCTCTTTTTTTTTTTTTTTTTAAGGCCTGCTTATGCAAATGTTTTAATCTGAACTCCTTACCAATTATTTCTCTCTCTGCAGTAACCCATGTACAAATTATACCTTCCAGTTCTCCAGCTCTCTGGTCTCCTATTTGTATCGTTCTTTCTCCTAGGTGCGCTTTCCTTACATGCTATGCTTTTGTCACCTAGGTCCTGCTTTCCAAAGCCCATGCTATTCACTCCTCCACTGATAGTCTGTGGGCAGGCATAGCTCTTCTCCTGATGAGATCTAGTAGCTCTAAAGCTATTGGTTTTGGAACCTACAGATGGCTCTGTGTTTCTTCCTTCTATCATCATCCACATACTAAAGGCTGAGAAGCTGTACAGTGTCTAGTAAATAATATAAGCAGCTGTATAGTGTTTAGTAAATGTGATGTATAACTTTCTGGCCAAAATTAAGGTAAAGAAATGACAGCACTGCCTGTTTGTGACAGGAATTTTTATTGTACTTGTTTGTTAATTGAGAAAGTGGAACATATTAGCTCAATTCAAGAAATGACAGCACTGCCTGTTTGTGACAGGAATTTTTATTGTACTTGTTTGTTAATTGAGAAAGTGGAACATATTAGCTCAATTCAACATGATCAGCATCTTGCTCCTGCTTAGGATAAGCTAGCAAATCCAGTGTTCCCAATACTAATTTAATGTTTTTATTTTTCTTAAACTAACACCTCAAAACAGAATAAATGCGTATTCTTCCTTTCATGTTTTAGTAGCCCAACTACTTTGCTTTATTATTTAATCAGTGTCATCAAATGTATCCCCCAAAGGAGTGAGGCTCTGGGAATTCATAGCCATGAGGAAAAAAAATGCACAAAACCAACAAAACTTTTTTTGATAATTTAACAGTCTAATAAAACAAGATCTATCAATATATTAAGAAATAAATCCAGTTACAAATGCATGTATATAGAAGGAACTTCTGTGGATGTCGGAACAGAAAATGATACGCTATTTACAAGATACACAGCAGGATGGTATAGTAGCCAAGACCCACCATTCAGAAGCCAAATGTGTTCTCTCCACTGTAGGCAACATACAAGAAGCCATCCTCATCCTTTTCCTTCTCATAAAGTTGTCCCATAGTTAAGCTTGAAGGGGAAAAAAAGAGAAATGGTTTGCTCGGATCATGACAGTTGCAAATGGTAACAGTTAGAACCTCACATAAACAAGGATTAATAACAGCTAAAACCTGTAAGTCTGTGTGTAAATTAAAATACAAAAATGAGGATATATGAAAAGCAGTTGACTCCTGAGTAGCAAAATGACCTGGGCTCTCTGCAGAGTGTCTAGGTTTTTGTTACTTCTTCACAAATGCATTTGTCAGAATGCTTCCTTATTTTATTGGAAATGAGTCACTGAATGTATTTCAGGTTCCGAATCATCCATTATTGATGCCGTGACTAATCCCAGGATCAATAGCCTGATAGCACCTTCCTGCATGGAAGCACCTTTAATGTTGCATTAAAGTCTTTGCTTCTTGCGTGAGCAACCTCATTTTCTCCTTCCACCTGGTGTAGTCATGAATGTTCAGCTGGTCTCAAGTCTATCAAACTTGGGCTTTTTGGACTGTTTCTTTGAGGTCCAGGTTGTTTTGGGGAGTAAAAGCTTTGTTTTCTATATTGTTAAAAAGTGATGACTTAAAATAGTGCTAGTATCAAAATGCGTGGGCAATAAATTACAAGTTAGCCAGAAACCAGGGCTTTTTTAGTGGATAAGGTTTTGAATGTTTGCTCAAATTAAAATTTTCTTAAACTGAATAGGCATGTAGCCCTTCACAGTCTAAGCAGCTGTGGTCTTTAGGGCAGTGTCTGTATTTTGAAAACAAAAAGAAACCCGAGCAATTACTTGGCCAGTACAACTGCTCCAACCATCTATCTACAGATGAAGCAGGCAGTTAATATCAGTCAGTTGCACAAATGGCGCCTCCTCAGCTCACCTTTGTCTGACTTCCCAAGACTGAGAAAAGGCTAGTAAACTGTAAGATGCAGACTGAATGTGAGTGATAGGGAAAATGATCATGGCTTTTTACCCAAGAGAGGAGCTGGGAAGAATTGCAGGCAGTATTTGAAATGGAAGGGAATTGGTGAGTAGTAAACTTCTGGATGAGGAGAGAAGGATGTCAAGTTAACGGTCTATGTAATAAACTCAGCCTACAAGAGGAGCAGAGCCATTAACAGATTAAATTTTTGTTTATCTGTTAACAAGTTACCATTTTTGCATTACTATTGAAGGTTCAAGGCCCTATTTTTCCAGCAGAGATGTGACATCTCATCATGAACATGTGAGATGAGACAATGTGTCCTTTTTTTTTTCCTCTCCTGTTCCTAGCAGTTCTACAGCACTGTTAAGAAGATGACATATAGGCATTCCTAATACTCTTAGAAGAAAGCAAGCAGAAAAAGATGGTTCTCACAGGTCCCTATTGTGTATCACAAAGTAAATAAAAATATTCTTAACTGAGTCTGGACAGGTTAGCTGGAGGGACTGTTACTGTTACACAGGTAAGGATTAATAAGAATAATATTGTATCTAAGCCACGTAACATCATGATGTACTATTTCCTCAAATACTATTGAAGGATAGAAAGCAGTTGTAGTAGCTGCTTCTGCTATACATTATTCCGTATGTAGCAGACAACAATTAAACTTATTCCTATATAAAAGCAATGTGAAAAACCTTTCTATAGTCATTTTGCATTTTGTGTTTATAGAAGAAAATAAGTAATTTTTAAAACAAGTAACAGTAACTAGTGTGTAACGTCATTTCTTTGTGAGCTGACAAGTTAATGTTTTTTCAGAATAATTTATGGTGTTTGCTTTTGAGTATTTAACATGCAACTTTTTTGTTACATTGAGAATGATTTTTTTTTTTGGCATTGATGATGTAAATGTTCTTGCACTCAACCACAGATGATATCATAAGTCCAGAGCTCACCCTCTTGCCATGGAAGTAAATCATAATATATTTTTCAGTCACCTTTCCCTTCTGCTTAGCTCAAGAAATAAGATGTTTATCAAACTTCCAAGAAAAAAACCTCTCATGGTGAGATTAAGATGTAACAAAACACCTCCTAAAATCATCAAATAAGCCTCAAAGCCCTCTTTGAGAGTTATGGTCCCTCTGATACACACAGGCTTGCTGAAATGGTTGTGAATAGCCTCTCACCTGGATTGTGGGACAGTCTTGTCTACAAAGAGGAATATTGCTTTCTCAGATGGCAGCTGAATCCTCTTCCTGATGATCCACATGAACTGGGCCACGGTGATGTCAGATGGAACTAAGTACTTCCTCTTGTCAATATCAACAATCTGAGATCCTGAGACCTTCTCCACTATGACCTGTAAAGCGCAGGTGTGAAGGTCAGGCTTTTCAGGATTGTTATGAACAGACAGCTTTGATAAATCGCTTGCTGGTCCAGGCTTACAACAGTGAGCAGAGGGGAGGAACAGAAAGTTTTCTTGACCGCAACCAAATGAGAGGTAGGACTGGCCCAGCGCTATAAAACCTGCTTTTACAACTGCACTGAAACCTACATTCATATACACAATGGCTCAAAACTTCTATGCCCACGGTTGACAGACATGAGGTAGAAAGATGCAATATGCCTATACGAAACCTGTGTCAGGAAAGTATATGCATCTTTTAACTTTCTGTACACCGATGATACTGCCATGTGGACCCCAAGTTGAACATGAGCCAGCAGTGTGCCCTGGCAGCAAAGGCGGCTAATGGTACCCTGGGTTGCATTAGGCAAAGCGTTGCCAGCAGGTCCAGGGAGGTGATTCTTCACCTCTGCTGACACTGGTGAGGCCACACCTGGAGTGCTGTGTCCAGTTCTAGGCTCCTCAGTACAAGACAGATATGGACGTACGGGAGAGAGTCCAACAAAGGGCCTCGAAGGTGTTTAAGGGATTGGAGCATCTCTCATATGAGGAAAGGCTGGGAGAGCTGGGACTGTTCAGCCTAGAGAAGAGAAGGCTCAGGGGGATCTTACCAATGTGTATAAATACCTGAAGGGAGGGTGCAAAGAAGATGGAGCCAAGCTGTTTTCAGTGGTGCCCAGTGACAGGACCAGAGGCAGTGGGCACAAACGGAAACACAGGGGGTTCCCTCTGAACATCAGGAAACACTTTTTCACTGTGTGGGTGACAGAGCACTGACAGAGGTTGCCCAGGGAGGTTGTGGAGTCTCCCACCTTGGCAATACTCAAAAGCCATCTGGACACGGTCCTGGGAGCTGGCTGTCCAGGGAGGTTGTGGAGTCTCCCACCTTGGCGATACTCAAAAGCCATCTGGACACGGTCCTGGGCAGCTGGCTGTAGGTAGCCCTGCTTGAGCAGGGAGGGGTTGGACCAGATGACCTCTGGAGGTCCCTTCCCACCTCAACCATTCTGTGATTCTGTGATTTATTCATACCAGGACAGTAACGTCCTATTGTGTTTAAATATGGCCAATTTATGGCCAAAGTGTTCTGAAGTTCCCCATGTGCACTATCCAAAAATAGTGTATTCTCCACAAAAGCTTGGGGGGCAGGGGCAAGAAAGGAATTGGCATCTACTTAGACATTCAAAGCACAGGCAGCTTGAAAACTTCAGGTTTAGGAGTGGCTTGTCTGCACTACTTCCCTTAAACTAACTGGTGATTGAAGGAAGGAGTCCAGGCCTTCTGTCTTCTCGCTTACTCCAGTTGATAGTAACAAACTGAGGAATCCATTTAACCATATTCCTTCCTTGCCCCATTCAGCTGTAGTGAAGTAATGAGAAATTCAACTAGACTACAGAGCTGGTACCTGAGCAACAGCAGGTGATCTGAGGAAGTCCATTCCCTTTGTACAGATGCTGCTTATTTTGTTTTTGTCACTATCACAACATAAAAAGAAAGTAGAATAGAACAGAATAATTCAGTTGGAAGGGACCTACAATGATCATATAGTTCAACTGCCTGACCAACTCAGGGCTGACAAAAAATTAAAGCATGTTATTAAGGGCATTGACCAAACGCCTCTTAAACACTGACAGGCTTGGGGCATCGACCACCTCTCCAGGAAGCCTGTTGCAGGGTTTGACCACCCTCTCGGTAAAGAAATGCTTCCTGATGTCCAGTCTAAACCTCCCTGGTGCAGCTTTGAACCATTCCCAGGCATACCTGTCCCTGGATCCCAGGGAGAAGACATCAGCACCTCCCTCTCCACATCTCCTCCTCAGGAAGCTGTAGAGAGCGATGAGGTTGCCCCCCAGTCTCCTTTTCTCCAAACAAGACAACCCCAGAGTCCTCAGCTGCTCCTCATAGGATGTGCAAGTGTGACCATCATTGCTTGAAATCTTTTGTTACACAGAATTCTAGTTTGCAACAAGCATGCCCTATCCTCTTTTAAATTGTCATATGACTAAATAAAATCCCACAATACAAAGAAATACAGGTTTGATACACGCACCACCTCCACCCTTTCAACTTAACTGTCTTCTTTAAACAATGTCCCAAGTTGCTCCTAACAGACGACAGAACCAACTGCCTTGATATGGCGTATAGCAAAAGAAAAAAAAATATTAGAAATAATACTTCCCCCCCCCCGAAGTCTTTTGTATTCATCTGTGCAGCATACCGTTCCATTACACAACACATACCAGTAGGTCAGAAACTGTCATGCTAAGTAGAGGCACATGCATTCTTCAGGTAACTCAGTGCAGAGTTGAAAAAGCCATGTTACATCTGAATACAGTCAAAACTCTGATAGAGTTGCAGTGTGAACTGTGGTATAATGCAAGGTTCTAGTTGGCCACAGACCACATATTCCTTTTTTTACAGTGCTTTGCAGTACTGCTTTTGATTTGACATCCATGCTCTCTGCATTTCCATAATTAATCCAGCAATGATGACTGACTTCCCACAGCTAGCCACCAAGCATTTCAGCCAGGCTCAACAATGCCTCAAGGAAGAGAAATGGAAGCATGGCTGCAGTATGCTCTAGCATACCAGTTGGCCTGCCAAGGATGCCAGCTGAGCACTTCACCAAATCACCAGAAAGGTGCTGTGACATGATCTTGTCTGCGTGCCTCTGCTGTACCAGACTTATACTGCCAGATAATCCAGCAATGTATGCATCTGATGTTAAAAACTATATTACAGCTTCAGTTGATTGGATGAAGTTACAGGATGACAGTGAAGCCATACTAATAAAGTGTAGGTTTTAGCTATATATGAATGAGAGCTAGATGGGATATGTAGGCTGTAAGGAAAAAAATAAGATAAATAAAAAAAATAATCATTATTTTTTGCTGCTAGGCCACCATAAGAACTTGGCTATTCTCTGCCTACACCAGGAGTGTTTGGTAAAAGAAAGCAGGTAGGAACCCGAGCAGAGATGCCTAGATAAGATGATGTTTGCAGCATCAACAGGCTTTTGTTTGCAACTTGAAAAAAGACTGCCTATGTTAATCACTATTTTAGGATGTCTGTAGACTCAGGTCTGCAATAACATACTGATTTTATCACTGGGAACCAGAAATTTTTTTTAACGTGTTATTCTGAATATAGCTGCACTCTAAGGCATATTGTTTGTTCCACCGTGTTATTGTTGTCAAGGTACAACTCACTGATGCTATTCTCTGCTTTGTATTATGCTGAACTGACATTAGAGTATCTTACTTCATATGTTAGGAAATTAGAAATTGACTACAGGAAGGAAAGGTGGCAAGATGGCCACAAACAAAACCAAACAAAAAGCAACAGGTACAGGAGGAGGAGAACTAAGTATTACTTGTGGAAAGGACCTGACGCTTATTGCTCCACACAGGCTAGTTCTTGAAGGAAAAAATGCAGCACGGGGGGAAATAAGGCTTACAAGAGGTCCCAGTGTCTCCATTCCTTAGCTCTGCATTCCCCATTGCTACAGTATACAGGTAATACTCAAGTAAATTTACAAAATATGCTGTCTTATGATCTGAAGAAGGTTCTCCTTGTAATTTCTTCATCTGTGCCTACAGAAACAGAAGGAGGGCATAGTAGCTGCCCCTTGCAATTTAGTATGAGGCAACTGTAAAGAGGACCAAGAACAGCCTGAAAGGAATACTGAAGCCTTAACAAGTGATACTTTTTTTTTTTAAATTACAATAACACGCTAGGCATTTTAGCTTCATAATGCAGAAACTGTCATAACTGGAAGTCAAGGCTGTTGGTGAACTGCTTCTAGTAAAACTTATAGATACCTTTAACCCTTAGACCACTTGATTCCCCAGGCAAATTTAAAATTGCAGTGCTTAGCAAGCATGAATTTCTTTCACCTCCCATTTTCTTCCTAAAAGGTCTAGCCTAGGACATAGGCAGGCTGTTGGTATATTATCTTCATAGGTTTGAACCACTGAAACATCTCTAAATCCAGGTAGACAGATACAGCAGCTGAGAATTGAAGTCACTTTGACCTATGTCCCTCTGGATGCAGGCTATAACCTGGAAAGCAGGAAACATATATTAAGTCTGAAAAACACTTTTGACTATTAAATGCCAAAAATGTATTATTTGATACCAATTATTTTGTGAAAGGTACATGGCTCAATCTGAATCATCAGGCAGAAAACGTATCAGCCCAGACAAAGCATCACACTGCAATTTGAGATTTAATTCCATGTATCCATCCACACCTTGCTGTCCATCCCTGATACGGCATCATGTAATTCTGACTCACACTACAAGTTTCAATATCTCTTTTTCCCCTAGGGTTATGAAAGATATTCTTGAAATGGACAAATGGGTATCTGTGGAGACATATGGTCGTTAGCATGCTACAGTCTATATATGAGGGGGTAGTTAGCCGGGCAGAGAATGGCAAGGATCAGATCAGCTTGCCAGACTGCAACTGGAGAAGATGCTGTGACTAGGTGCAACTCAGGAGCAGAGAGAGTCAGTGGGATTAGAGGTTCTTCTCTGGGCTGCACTGTCCAATGGGTAAGTTAAGTTATTTACCAAGAGGTCAGACGGGAGTGGCACTAACTAGCATGTGGTCAGATGGGATGTGGGAAATTTTACACACAAGCAGGTTAAGTTGAGAATGTGGACATGTTGCTAGCTGTTACATAAGGATGTGAAGTGTGGTCTGAAACTGACTGAAACATGATAAAAGGGATTGCGGAGTGAAAAAGAGAGGTCATTTGCTATTTAGCAGGTAGGTAGGTATTGATGCAGAAAGGAGGGGTCACCACTTGCACTGGCTCTTGAAACAACAGGGTTTGCATGGGGAGATTCACCATGATAAGAGCAGTTATAGACATGGAATACATGAGGGAAAATCACCTTCCTCATATAGCCAGGATGAAAGATTGTCAAGGTTTAAAGAATTTATGATCTTTCTTGGGATCAGGAACAGAATGAATCCTCAAGGCACTGAAGGTATATGCTGGGATATAATTGCCATTAGAAGAAACCAGGACACTGATAAGCCATAAACATGCCTGGAAAGTGTTTAGAAAGTCAAGCACTCTTGCTTACTTGTCAATAGGCACTGGGGCAGAGGAGGGAATGTTGGATTAGTTAGATGTGTTTGGGGCCTCTTTAAAACATCTAAGGACACAAAAAGGAAGATGAATTTACTTAGTGGGATCTGATCAAAGAAGAGAGAGCAGGATGGAAACAGCTTATCCACCTTTGCCTCTAAGTACTCAGATGAAGCTGGCTTGGTTACTCACCGGGACACGGTCAGGGTATTTGGCTCGGATTTTTGCCGACTCGACACATCTGTGCTCTGTGAACAAAACTCGTAATTAGTCATTGCGTAGTAATAGCATCGCCAGTGTCCTCGGCAGAGAGGGCAGTGCCCGCAGGGACGGGAACCCGCGGGGGTCGCGACCGTCTTGCCCACGCCGAGGGGGTCTCCAGCTGTTCAGGGAGGCCGTCCCCGGGCACCGCGCCACGCTTCGGCGAGGGCCGCAGGCGGCTGTCCGCCCAGAGACAAGACGACCGGCTCCGGGAGCCGACCGGGGCACACGGAGTCGGGAGGCCCCGGAGCAGATGGCGACACAGAAGACGGAGGGCGGCGGGGCCCCCGGCGGGCAGCACCTAGCCCGGGCCCACCCTTACCCAGCGCGTGGTCCTCCTTGAACATCCACTTCATCGTGCGGGCCGGC